TAATATATTAACATAAAACTAACACAAATCTTATGCACAGAAAATAAAGAACAGATCTGTCAGAAATTTTTCTCTTAGGCCATGAGACCATGATTGGTTTCCTCCCCTAACTTTTTTTATTGCCCTGATTTTCTATAATAACCGTTGAGGGATACGTATCGGGGGAGGAGCACACAATATGGAGAGAACGGGTTTGGGTCTGGAGAGCAGCTCTGGGCAGCGGGGTGCACAGAGGACGTGGTGGGGGTCCCGGAGGGGCAGCGGCTGGGCCACGGCAGTGGACAGGCTGTCTAATGTATGTGCAAAATGAATCTTTGGGCCCTTGTTCAAAATGTATTAAGAATTTCAAGAAGGCAGCAGCAGAGCTATAGCAGGCGCAGCCCTTCTGCTTGGGGCCGCGCTGCTCACTGCACACGTGGACCACGTGCCACCTGTGAAGTGGTGCTGGTCTGGACGTAGGGCGCTCGCGGCTGTGCTGGGCAGACGGGCTGGCCTGGGTGTCACCTTTGCCTTGTCTTTTTCAGACTCCGGGCGAGAGCATAACCTGTAAGCCTCTTTGCTCACCTACAAAAGGGCAAATGCCACCCCTCCCTTGCAGGATTGTTTGAAGATGTATAAAGTCCTCGCACGTAGTAGGCCCTCATTAGGTGGTAGTGATGTTACTTATTTTATCTTCTTTACACTTTCTGTAGTGCGTTCAGTAGTGTCCTCCCAAATCACATCTACCCAGAACCTCAGAACGTGACCTTAATTTGGAAATAAGTTCTTTGCAGATATAACTAGTTAAGATGAGGTTAATAGTGGATTAGGGCGGGCCCTGAGTCCAATGACTGGTGTCCTTATAAGAAAACAAGAGGACACAGAGAGACAGACAAGAAGAACAGCATGTAAAGACAGAGCTACAGGGGAGGAGGCCACGTGAGGACAGAGGCAGATGTGGTGTGATGCAGCCGCAGGCCCAGAATCACCAGGAGCCCCAGAAGCAGGAAGAGGCAGGCAGGACCCGCCCCTGGAGCCTCCGGAGGGAGCGTGGCCCTGTGGACACATGCATTTCAGACCTCTGACCTCTAGAACTGGGAGACAATAACTTTCTATTGCTCTAAGCCACCAGTTTTGGGCACTTCGTTACAGCAGCTCCGGGAAACTGAGTCACCTCCCTTGCACATCACATACACGCTTCCTAGCACAGATGCGAAATTATGCTTCAAAGATGGGCCCAGCCTTCTTCACCAAGTTGAGCCTGGAGTTGAAAGACCATGACCTCGGAAAACACACAGGATCCACGAACAGGGGTTTTTCTACAGAAAACAAACACAGGCAGGACAACCTCGGGATGAGAAGTGGATCTCCATGATGCTGCGGGAAAGGAGAGAGGCTGGTCCTTGTGATTTGTGGAAGACATGAGCACACGTCTATTTCTAACTGGTACCTAGTGAGCTAGTCACAGCTGTTCCACACACCATCACCTCCTAGGCACCGTCCTGGGTGCAGACGAGTAGGACAGAGAAAAACCCTGCCCTCAGGGTGGGATGGGGTGGAGGGTGTGTAATGTGTGTAGAAGTGGGAAAATACATCCTTCCCCAAGTCCTGTCAGACTTTCTGTTTTTGCTTTTCTAATTTTTAAAACTTTTTATATTGGAATCATTTTAGGTTGCAAAAATACTATAAAGGTTTTGTAAACTCTTCATCCAGTTTCCCTAAATGTTAATGTCTCACACAAGCCTAAACACAGCATAGTTACCAAAAGCAGGAAATGAGCCTTGAGATGCACTGTAATGAGCTCGTGTCCAGAATCCACGCACGTTTTACTGCTGTCCCACCACAGACCTCTGTCTGACCCAGGCTCCTCCCACACGGTCCTTCGCGGTAACGTCTCCTGAGCCGGCTTCGACCTGGGACAGGTTCCCAGTCTTTGTCTTTCATGACCTTGACACACTTCAGGAGTATGAATTGTTTATTTTGAGGAAGATCCTAGTTTGGGCTTCTCTGATGTTTCTCCTGAACGGGTGGAGGTCGTGTGTTTGGGGCAGGAAGACCACCAAAGTGATGCTGTCCTTTCAGTGCATCATCTCAAGGGCGTGTGATGTCCATACGCCTTGCACTGGTGATGTAGACCTCCATCTTGAGTGAAGGCATGTCTACCAGGTTTCTCCATTGTAAAGTTACTATTTTCCCCATTGTAACCAATAAGTACTTTTGAGGCTATGCAAATAGTATGTCTGCCATCCTCCTTTTGCCACTAATTTTAGTATCCATGGATGGTTCTTGCCTGCAATGCACAGCGGACTTTGAAAAGTCTCCTAAAGAAGGATAATTTTGCATTTAGAATTGTCGATTAAAATTCAATTGACAAGAAGAAAAAAGAATTTTACTTGAACCAAATTGAGGATTATAACCCAGGAGGAAGTCTTTCAGGAAAGACTGTTCTGCCTGTTAAAAGTCGAAGGCGTGGTCATATACTGACGTACTGACATTTTAAATAAAGTTCACCAAGGATACATAGTCCAGGTAGCATGTATAAAGCCAGCAGCAGGTCACCGCGACCCCCTATGAAGTTGGGAAAGTACACTGTTCTTCTAAGAAGTTACATTGCCAGCGTCAGAAGAAAGGGAAAAAATTGATCTTTATGGTGGAGCAGGCATTCCCACCTTTGAGGAGGTCCGGTTATTGTGTAATGCGGACGCACACTGCCATCAAAAGGGGAGTGAGAAGGCCCTAACGGACAGAGAGAATTTTATGCTTCATTTCCTCATCCTGCCTTAAAATATAAATTTTACTTTGTCTGAACAAAAGCATGTATTTTTTAGTTACACTGAATATGCAACAAATCTTTCATTAGCTGTCAGTGTCTAATAGCTGCATAGGCTGTCAAGTATTGGTATATTTTTAAAGTATATGTTGGTGCATTTCATTGCATTCTTTTGGTGAAATTCCCTGTCAGAAATTCACTGAATGTCTATTAACATTGCTCTTTTCTTTAGGCTTTGTTGTCTTCTTTTTCCTGCTTTAGGAAAAAGCACGTAGCGTCCTCCTTGCTGGAGTACAGGGATTTGTTATTTCACTGCCCCGCAACTCCGCTGAGACGTGGCTGTTGGGGCAGGGATCTTGTCCTGTTCAACAGCGCCACCGCTGGTGAAAGAACTTAAATAGCTTTTTCAAACAGAAAAAGTTGGACGAATGGGGCAATGAACGCTTGTATTCCTGCCACTGGAGTCAACCATTGTTAACATTTTGCGGTATTTGCTTGTGTGCCCTGTGTGTGATTGTTTCTCTATCTATTGACATGACACTTCATCCCCACCAAACACTTTGCAGTTATTTCCTAAAAGTAGAGACATTCTTCTCCATCACTTGTTGGCAAACTATGATCATTGGGCCTAATCTGGCCCATCACCTGTTTTTGTAAATAAAGTTTTATTAGAACACAGCCACACACATTCATTTGCATGTTGCCCATAGCTGCTTTTGCACTAAAGGAGCAGTTGTTTTGGCTCACAAAGCTGAAAATATTTACTACCTCACCTGTGCAGAAAAGCATTAACCTAAGGCCTTCATGCTATCCTTACAAAGTCCTGCTTATGAGTTTGGCCCTTAGCTGGCACCTGGGAATGTGGATTTGGGGAGGGTCCCCATTACCGTAACTGTGATAAGAGTGCCTCACTGAGTCTGAACCGTTTGTACAAACAACACAGCGTGTGCTGAACATCTGTTCTCTCTCTGGGAGTCCGGAGTTTCCGTGTGTGTCTGTGACTAGCTCATAATAAAAACTGGGCACTTTTTTTTTTAATTAACATTTTGGCTGTGCCGCTCAGCATTTGGGAGCTTAGACCACCTCCTACAGTGGAATCGCAGAGTCTTAACCACTGGACCACCAGGGGAGTCCCAAAAAACCCTGGGCTCTGGTCTCTAACAAGCTCCTTCTGACATTTAATGCGTTGTCACAGCTCTTTGCTGGGAAGTTAGCTCGCTCCACAAGCCTTTTCCCTGTGCCTTGAATCCTTTTGCCATAATAAATCATAGCCATGGGTCTTCCTAGCGAATCAATGAATCTGGGCGTCTTGGGTCCCCCTGACACATGGCCCTTTATAGAAAAAGTCTGCTGAGGCCCATTCTACATAAACACCATTGTTATACCTAAGAAAACAAACAATAATTCTGCAATATAACCTAACCTCTAGTTTCTATGCAAGCTTTCCAGTTGTCCCCCAAATGATTTTTTAGCTTATTTAAAAAAATCAGAGTCCAGTCAAGATTTGTATATTGCTTCCCCTCCTTTACACATGCTTCACCCATGCCTTCGTTCATGACACTAACTGTTAAGCGTTGCGGACTGTCCCAGATCGGGTTCGCGATTTCCTCCTCGTGCCCCGTGCGCGGCCTTCCTGTGTCCAGAGGCCGGGCGCGGACCTACAGGCTGGACGAGGCCAGTGCAGCTTGCCCCATGGGTGATGCTGCCGCAAGGTGGGGCACCGGCCGGTGGCGTCAGGCCACTGCGGGCGGGGGCGATACTCGCGCAGCCCCCCGCCCCCCCTCCCCGACCACCTTCCCCCCGCGTCGTGGCATTTTGTGATGACCTTGGCTGACCCAACATTCACTGGATTCACTGGGGGCTTTCCTCTGCCTGTGCTCGCTGGCGTTCTTTAATAAAAGAAGTGCCTTCCCTCAGCAGCCGGGGGGGAAAACTACGGCACCCCCCAACTCCCCAAAGGCTGGCAAACGCTAATGACCTCCTTCTAATTGCCTGTGTCCAGAGAGACTATCCGCCGAGGCAGAGCCAGATGGATTTATCATTCCGGGCCCGGCCACTAGAGGACGGTGGCGTGCGGCCCGGGCGAGGCCGGCGCGGGCGCGTGACGTCACGCTGAGTCCAAGACAGGCCGGCGCGGGCGTGTGATGTCACGCGGCGCCTGGCAGAAGCCGGCGCGGTCATGTGACGTCACGTCGTGCGCCCAGGCGAAGCGGTGCGGTAACTGATACCCTGGGGTCTCGGCGCGGTCGCCATGGGTCCGCGGGTGCAGCTTCCGCCAGAAATCCAGCTGGCGCAGCGCCTGGCAGGGAACGAGCAGGTGACCCGAGACCGGGCGGTGAGGAAACTCCGGAAATACATTGTCGCCAGGACTGAGCGGGCCGAAGGTGGGCGCGGGGTTGGCGGCATGTGGGAGGGGGCGCCTCGGCGGACGGGCCGGGTGGGGGTCGCGGGGCGGCCACCCGGGCTAGGGGACCTTCCAACCTCGTGGAGTCTCCACGTGGTCGGGCCGAGTGGGCGGGGCCTGCGGCGATGCTTCCACCCGTCTCCCGCTTCCCGCTCGTGCTCCCGCCTGAGCGCTTGGCCCTCCGCCCCTTCCTCACCTTGGCTGTCCTGAAGGTGCGCGGCGCTCACCTCCTGCTGCGGTGGGCACGTGTCCCTATGCGGAGGCTCCGCCTCCCCAGCCGCTTATTTCCTCTTCGCAGTTAAGACCTGCCTTCCTCTGGGAACCGGTCCCCGCGTCAGCCCATATATCCCGCTATCCCTGCTACCCACTGTTAGGGCACCCTGTGTTTTTTCCTCAGAGCGGCATTTATTACTGTTGGTAGTCTTTTTCTTGTGTAATTATTGGGTTGTCGTCTGAGTTTCACGTAGTGTACAGTCCTCAGAGAACATGCTTCCTAAGTGATTCTCAAAATGTGGGTCTCAAAACGTGGCCCCATCAGCAGCTTCGGCATCACCTGGACATTTGTTAGAAATGCAAATTCTTGGGTCCCATCCCCGTACTGCTGAATCAGAAACTCTGACAAGTGGGCCAGAGATCCGTTTTAAGAAGCCCTCCGGGTGATGTGATCCTGTTGCTAAGTCTGAGAACCACTGCTCTGGAACAGGGTGCCAGACACGTAGTTAGGACCTCAGTACATACTTGTTGGGTGATTTTATATGTTCAGTATCTGCCTTCATAACGACCCTGAATGAGGTAACTTGTAATTTTAAAATTTGAAAAGTGCACAAAACCCAGGTGTAACACCGGGTGAATTGTTGCCAACAGACTCATCTGAGTAGACACCAGCCAGACCAGGAAATGGTGCTTCACTAAATTTTGAATCGACAGAAATGGAGTACAGGGCCTGTTGCTTGTAGATTCTCGGCAAATGTTTATTCAGTGAATGAAATGACAGTTATCTGGGGGAGTCCTTCCAGCCACAGGCCCAGCAGGTTCTGAGTTGGGAGGGTGGCTTGAGAGGGAGGGCCGGGTACCTTTACAGTAAGATGACTTCGGTCTAGTTCAGGCGTTCACATTTCTCTGGCTTTGTTCTGGCACTAAAAAGCTGGGTTCATCTGTTCTGAGCGTTGCTGTTTTTGGTGCAGGTGGTTTCACTCACGACGAGCTGCTGAAGGTGTGGAAAGGACTGTTCTATTGTATGTGGATGCAGGACAAGCCACTCCTCCAGGTGAGTGTCTGGGAGGGTACAGAAGGAGCTGGGGCAGCAGGAACAGTGGGAGGACAGGCGAGCACGTTGTCGACCCTCATTTTACTACTGCAGACATGCTGGGCAACGTTTTACAGCTTCGATCCTTTTTGTGCTTTTGATGGCCGGAGGGGCCAGGGCCTTGGGTTACAGTGAGTCTGCGCTTGCTGAGTTGAGCACCGCAGCAACCCTGTTGAACGCCAGCGGCGTCATGGCTGAAAACCGGGTTGTCTGTTCTGTGTTTGTCAGAGATGGCAACGAAGTGCTGAAACGCTGGAAACCAGGGGATGGAATTCACGTCTTCTGAGACGAGTATTTTTTCTGCTAGCCTTTTTTAGAAAAACAGACTTTATTCTTCAGAGCAGTTTTGGGTTCCCAGCAAAATGAGAGGAGGAGCTACTGAGGTTTCCCCCCGCACAAGCACAGCCTCCCCCGTTATCACCCGTACCAGAGTGGGACCTTTGTCACTGTCCGTGGACCTACATGGCACGTGATCATCACCCAGAGTCCATAGCTTACCTTAAGGTTCACTCTTGGTGATGTTCAGTCCGTGGGTTTGGATAAATGTACGATGACATGCATCGTCATCGTGGTATTTTTTTTTTTTTTTTTTTTCATTATGGTATTTTACGACGTAGTTTCACTGCCCTAAGATACTAGTCTTTTTAGAAGTGTTTCCCAGCGGGAATTGTTTACTGCTCAGAATCACCTGGGTGGTGATGGTACTTATTTAAAATGCAGATTCCTGCGCTGTATTCCACGCCTGATAAACTAGAAGCTCTCGGGGGAGGCTCTGGAATCGTCTGTTTAGCCAGTGCACTAGGTGATGCCTGGCACAGTGACACAGGCAGGCAGCTGGTAACTCACAGGGGTCTCATCAGCCCCCTTTCTGCTGGTCAGGTGGCTGTGTGCTCCCAGGCTCCTGTTCTCCCGCCCCTTCCTTTGTCAGCCTCCGTTGCTCAGGGTTCAGCATCGGTCATGCGGGCAGTCCCTGCCCTTGCTTGTTGTGAGGTCCTGTGGGCCCTGGCCTTCAGGGGAGGCCTCTCGCGGCCAGTGTGAGACTTGCAAACCCCACGCTTGCTGGGCTGCGAGGCCCCGTGGAGCCGGACCCCGCGACGAGTGAGGACAGTTGAATGTCTGTCTTACTGCCGTTGCTCGTTGCTGTAGGATCACGTTTGTTCAGGACTGAGGGCGTTTGTTCTGTTTCCTGCGCAGGAGGAACTTGGCAGGACCATTTCCCAGCTCATCCACGCTTTCCAGACCACAGAGGCACGTGAGTATCCCCGCCATGGTCGCACACAGCCCCTGGACACGAGGCCTGTGTTCTGAGAGCGGGAGTGAGGGCCCCGTCCCAGCTGGCGTCTGCTGGTGCTGACGTGGGAGATGCTGTTCTGTTGGTCCTGCACGTGTTCGCTCACTTGCCCAGAGTAGACTCAGTTCAGGAGTCTAGAGGGCTAACCCTTGTATTTCAGAATTACAGAGGCAAGCGGTGTAGTGTCCGCAGCTGTCTGACTGAGTCTCACCTGATGGTGGTGAGGTTCCTGCAGAGCATCTTTCTAACTCTTGCGTCCTTGTTCTGACCAACGTCAGCCGTTCTCAACCCTGCGGCCTGCCTGTTGTGTCTTTAGAAATCCTGATGTCTAGACCCTGGTCCCATTAGGTCAAGCTCTGGGGGTGGGGCCTGGGCGCCAGCATCTGCGACACCCCCTGCCCTGCTCCGAGGGCAGCTAGGGCTGGGCAGCATCACTGGCGTGGACCCCGGGACCGTTGCTGGCGGTGCCCCGGCCGTGTGGGTGGGTTTAGTTCGGTTATGCCTAAGCTGCCAAAGTAGTCAGAAGTAGGGAGCGTGCAGTTACAGTAACTGCGTTTGAGTAATCACTGGAGGAGATCTGTTCTCTATAACTTTTACCTTCTAAGAACCTCCAGAAGCGTTTCTGTGCTCAGTAGAGGGCCAGGTACAGAGCGTTCACCTGGTGACACTTGAATGAGGTAGTGAACGCAGGCCTGTCCTGTGGGAGGTAAGAGGTGCCTTTTGGGGACTTCCCTGGTGGTCCAGCGGGTAGGACTCCGCGCTCCCAAGGCAGGGGGCTCGGGTTCCATCCCTGGTCAGATCCCATGTGCTGCAATAAGAAGTCCGCATGCCACAGTGAACAGCCCGAGCGCCACAACTAAGAGCCGGCGCAGGCCAGACAATAAATAAATAAACATGGAAAGAAAAGGGGGGGGCCCTCTGTGTCCCTCCCGAGGGCTCTCTCCTGGGCATGCAGACGGCTGTCTCCTCCTGTGTCCTCACGTGGTCGTCCCTCTGTGTGTGTCTGTGTCCTCATCTCCTCTGAACGACACCAGTCAGATGGGATTAGGACCACCCCAGTGACCTTGTACCTTAACCACCTCTGTAAAGACTTGTCTCCGAATAAAGTCATATTCTGAGGGATTGGGGGTTAGGGATTCAAGGTATGGGCTGGGGACCTGGTTGAGCCCGTAGCACTCCGGTTCTGACATACTGTTAATGGCAGGGTTTTGTGTTTGATCAGGTGAGTGGATTCAGTGGGGCGAGTGCTGGGGCAGGGCGTGGGTGCCGGGCAGGGTCCTTAGCCTCAGCCGAGGTGGGGCAGCGGCAGTGGTTGCATGGGGAGAGGTGGCCCGAGTGCTGCTTCTCGTGCTGTGGGGGCTTCCAGTGCTCTCTGCCTGGTCTTCAGAGGCTGTGGCTTCAGTTTGCGGTTGTAGCTGGGATTTGCTTTTCTTTCCAAGGTTCTTAAAAGCCCCGTTTTTAAGCCAAATCCGTAGCATTGCTGTCAGCTCAGCACACTCAGGGGCTCAGCACCCCCGAGGCTGGTGCCAGGCGACGTCCTGACAGGGCTTCTTCACGGCCCCTCCCCTCCCCTCCCCTCCCCAGGCAGCTGCCGCTTTCCCCTGCCCCCACCCCTGACTCTCTTCTGGCCTTTTCTTTCCACCAGAGCACCTGTTCCTTCAGACATTCTGGCAAACCATGAACCGCGAGTGGATGGGCATCGATAGGCTGCGCCTGGACAAGTTCTACATGGTGAGGAAGCTGCCTGCCCCCCGCCAGGGTCCCTGCGGTGCTGGGGCACGGCGTCCAGCATCCCAGCCCCTGAGCCCCCCACTGCCCCAGCAGTGCCAAGGACCAAGGCTGCTGGGTGGCGAGCGCCCTGCGGTCTGTTCCCTGTGAGCCTCGTTGGGCCGTGAGGGGAGCCTCGGCCTCACGTGGGGTGCGCATGCCGGGGTTCTGCACAGACTGTCGGTTCAGGGGAGGAGGGTCACAGTTGCCCCTGGGGGAGACTCGGTGGCGAAGCCCTTGCTGCTTTGCTGCCGTGAAAGCAGAGCTTAGAGCCCGGGCCCTGGACAGAGACCCCTGGGTCTGCTCGTGGGGGGCCGGCTTTGGAAGGTGTTTTTCTCTGGGCAGGGACAGTTTACACAGTAGCGTGCAGAATCTTCCTCCTCTCTCTCCTTTCCTGCGCTGCATTCTGGTGAATTTAGCTTACTGCTCTGCGCTCAGAAGTGCAGGGAAAACTGGACTGTGTCTTGCTGCCGCCCCTGTTGAGCTGCACCTTTGTTACTGCGCTGCTGTCCCCTGGGACTGGGGACAGTCCCCAGATGAGTGCTGCTGTCCGAGAGCAGGTGGCCCGATGCGGACACTGGATGGGGCAGCAGCCAGGCCTCGCTGAGCACAGGTCCCCGTGATCTGCCCCTCAGGCCGGCCACCCGCTCCATCTCAGTCCAGGGTTACGCGGTCACCATGTGTGTGATGTCAGGTGTTAGAGTAGGACAGCTGGTGGGCGAGCGCAGGGCTCAGGAGAGAAGGAGGACGGCGCTGATGCGTGTGGGCAGGCGGGGGGCTGGGCGCCGGGCTTCGCACGGTTATAGAACGCCCGCTCATAATTCAGAGGGGCTGTGTCCCAGGATGCAGTGCTGGGCCTTAGGTCGGGGGTTCTGCTGCTGTCCGTGGCCTGTTTCCTACGACCCCCCTGTGGCCATGTCTGGCAGCGCAGCCCTGCTCTAGAGGCTGGTCTTCCTGGCGGCACCACAGGTGTCCTCTGTCGCCTTTCACCACTACGGGTCCCCCCTGCAGGCTTGTTGGGTTCATGCCGGCAGGTAGGGAAACCGGGCAGTCAGCCACTGTGCCGGGGATTGTGGGCAGAGAAGGAAACTGGTTTCTCCCTCGGGTGGGGAGAAGCTCGGGGGGGGGCTCAGAGGAAACAGTCTGTGGCGCAGACCTGGTGGTTCTGAGGCTCCGCTCTCCTGGGGGAGCTCCACGTCGTCCCGTTTTCACTCTGGAAACAAGCCCGTCCCTCGCAGCCGCCGATTGTGTGTGTGGTCACTCCCCGTGTCCCTGCTGTGAGCCCGACGTCCTGCTACTCGTGGGAGGCTGGGCGCCTCCCGCAGGCCCAGGGCCCCAGCAGCTCTCCAGGGCCTGCCATGTGCAGTGGGGTGCCCAGACGACCCGGGGCAGAGGGGAGGTCTGGGTGGTGCCGCTAACGGGGTCTCCTCCTGTGCCACAGCTCATGCGGATGGTCCTGCACGAGTCGCTGAAGGCTCTGAAGACGCGCGGATGGGACGAGAGGTCAGTGTCCCAGAGCGGCCTGCGGCAGCCGTGCCACTCGGGCCGGTCCGGGTCTCTCCTCTACTCATTTGTCAGCTTATGTGGAAGGGTGACTTAGTGCTGGAAACAAAGGCATTTTTAAAATGAAGTTTGTGCACGTGTTCGTGGGAATGTTTGTTTCAGCCTTGACGGTGAGTTCTTACTGGATCAGAACTAAGTCCTCACCAAAGGAGGCGCAGCTGAGCAGCTGTTCTTGTAAAACGTGGCACCTTCAGCTCTGTCATCGGCAGTCATTGCTCTCAGCTCTACAAATACTTGAGCCGTCCAGACTTCACATTTTTGACAGTGGTGCTTGTGTGTGTTCCTCCAAACTGTAAGGGCCTGTGTTTTCTGGCTCACCTCAGGCCTCCCCTGGCACCTGGCAGCTGGGTGGGATCCTCAGGTTGGGCTGGGCTAGGCTCTGCTGCGTCTTAGCTCCTCCCACAACCCCTCCTGGAGACCAAGCAGGGGCGGGGCTCCTGCAGCCTGGACCTGCCCCTTCGCCTGAGGCTCTGCATCCAGGTTACAGCAGCAGGTTTCCAAACCTCCCGGGGGCCGTCTGAGATCACAACAGAAAGTGGGTTTCTGAGCATTTACATTTTAAAGTTTTTGGAATTAATTAAAATTTAAAAAAACCCTTTTTTCTACTTATGAGAGTGATGGATGTTCATTGTAAAGAACTCGGGAAACTTTTTATAAACATTGAAAAGCAATTTTAACTCCAGCAGACAATTACTTTCTTTTTTAAATATATACATATATTTTTTATGGCTGCGCTGTGCGGCTGTGGGATCTCAGTTCCTCGACCAGTGATTGAACCCGGGCCACGGCAGTGAAAGCGCGGAATCCTAACCACTAGGCTACCAGGGGACTCCCCGACAATTACCGATACTTCTAAAGTGTTGCCTAATTGCATGGTCCAAAAGAGGTGTAGCCGGCTGCTTATTTATTTTACTGAGAATGTGTCAAAAACGTCTCATATCAGTGTCCTGGTGCTGCATGGTTTGGGGAGGGCGGGCACTGGGGGAGAGGGCTTAGAAACAGTGTGTTTTGAATTTGTTTGTGATTAAAAAGTGATGGTAAAGGAGTTTATTTTTCAGCCCAAAGATAATAAATCTAGGACCCAGACGTCAGAATAGCTGCCAGCCTAGAGCAGGCAGCTCACGGCCGCGTTATTCTAGGGCCGCCTCATCTTCTGAAGAGCAGCGTTAAACTGTCCCTGGCCTGGCAGCCCCCCGCCCCCATGAAAGGTCAGCAGGATTTGGCCTGCAGTTACTGGAATCACTGTTACAGGTTGAGAACGACTGTGGGTAACTCTACATTTTGGGCAAGGGTGCCTCTTTTAGTGATTTTCATCCTTAAAGTTCTGTGAAGACTTGGGGGTCTCGCTCATTTCCGGATGTAAGATTGTGTTATCCAGGGGGTGGCTAGTGACTGAAGCAGGGTTCAATGTTAAAGGGACGATTTTCTTTCTGTTAATCTTGGGCTTGGGGGTGTGGTTGTTACCATGAAAGTAGTTTCATCCTCATTGTCACTGGTAATTCAGCACAGAGATCCTTTCGCAGAAACTGGTACCCTCCCAGTGCCCTGGGATAACTAGTCCTGCGTGCTGTATCTGCTCTTCTAGCCCTTCTCCGTTCTTAAGAGTAGTGGGCTGTAAGTGTAACATTCCTGTCTGTGTGAAGGTGACTGTCAGCAGCCTGGCAGAGGAGGTCTCTGCCCCTGGCCTGCGTCCCTTCCGCTGAGCCGTGGAAGGCACCCCGGTGTTGTCGGCAGCAGCATTGTCCAGGGAGCTTTTTGAAGGATACATGCTTTACGGTTCAGGTGCAGGGATCTGTATATTAACAAGCACCAGGAGTTTCAGGTGCATCTGGGCCACTAAAGACCGGTCTCTGGAGCTCTCTGACCTGGGATTTCCCAGGCCTCTGAGACCGTTGAGACCCACGTGCCTGGGTGAGGTCTGATGTGACGTGTGACCATCCACGGGTCCGGTCCAGCAGGACCCGGGAGGCAAACTCGTCCCCTTCTCTGGCCTCCATCTCCCTTTGCGTTTGCTCTGTCCTGGGGAGCCTTCCCGCGCAGTTCCCAGCGGGGACAGTAGGGACACCAGACACGGTGGGCTCTTGCTTTGTAGCCGAGGTTCAGTCCTGCTGTGTGTCGTGGTCCTGGCCGTTGCCCGTGGATCTATACTCGCAGGAGTCCTCTGTGCCGGCACAGACCCAGGTCATCGGGTCTTCCTGTGTTGGTGGAGGGGCGTCTGCCTGTGACTGTCCCGTCAGAGCCCCCTGCTCAGGCAGAGTGAACCCATCGCCTTGTTGCCCCTCGTGCTGCTGGACTTGCCTTTTCTTGCCCCAGACAGACCGAGCAGCTGCTGGAGCTGCTGATGACAGAGATCCTGCACCCCGACAGCCAGGCCCCCAACGGAGTGAAGAGCCACTTCATCGAGATCTTCCTGGAGGAGCTGACCAAAGTGGGCGCCCACGAGGTAGGTGGTGGGCGGCAGGGTGAGGGCAGCAGCCAGGCTGCTTGGGTGCCTGAGGCCCAGGAACTGAGCCCCCGCTCTGTCCCCGCAGCTGACGGCGGACCAGAACCTCAGGCTCATTGGGCCCTTCTGCACGGTCGCCGCCCGGACTCAGGAGTGAGTGCGGTTCCCTCCTGCTCACCTGTTCTGTTCTGCTGAGTCCCCAAGGGGGCTGCCCTTAGGAAATTCTGTGTGCTCACGACGGGCCAGCAAGGGGGCCAGCGGGGCTGAGGGGCTGGGGTCAGGAGAGACGGGCACGGGGAGGCGGTGTTTCTTCCCTGGAGGGTCCAGCCTGACGGGTGGCTGCGGTGCGGCTGCCCCTTAGCTCCCTGGTTTTGCACAACATCACTCGAGGCATCTTTGAGGCGATTGTGGAACAGGCCCCGCTGGCCATCGAGGATCTCATGAAGGAACTGGCGGAGGAGCGGGATGGAGACACGCCATCCAGGGAGCCCCCTGAAGGTGAGGACCGTGCTCATCTCATCGGGACGACGGGCCTGCCCTGCTCTGAGCCCACGGTGGCTCTGTGGGAGCCCTGCCTTCACCTCCTGCCCCGTCCCCTCGATTCTGCCCGCCCCATCGAAGTCCTTGCTCAGCTCTGCAGCCAGGGTGACCTTGGGAACAAGCACACACGTTGTTCACTCTCCTAACCCTTGCCCCGTGGCCGTCCACGTCCTCATGGCTTCCTGGGCTCTGCTCCTGCCCTGGGGCGTCTGCCCTGCTCTCCCTTCCCTGGCAGGGTCTCTGCCCTCCGTCCCTCCAGGCCCTACCCCGACCACCCTGTTTAAAGTGCAGCCTCCCAGTGCCTACCCTGCCTCGCTCACTGGGCGTTTCCATGGTGATTCTCACTTTCTGGCATAAATCGCTTGAAGTTACATAAATCACTTGTTCATCTTTCTGGCCTGGCTTCCGCCACTGGATGTCAACTCTGCCAGGACCGGGGACTCTTGGCCATGCTGTGTACCTGGTGTTCGGAGCAGCGCCTGGCACGGAGGGGGCGCCGCTAGATTGCGATGGATGAGTGAGTGAGTGGGTGAATGAACGAGTAGAGGTAGCACTTGTGAACGTCCCTCTGGGGGCAGGGCCTGTGGGCTCCGCATCAGTGGTGTCCAGGCTGGCCTGTCCACCTTGATGCTAAAGTGGGTCTTCGTGGTTCCCCATCTGGTCTCGTGACTGTCCTCTGGGTGACCTGTGCACTGTGTACTGTGGCTTTAGGGGTGTGTGTTGTCCACCAGCTTCAGGACTTTTCTGCTCTTGCCTTTTGTTGTGGTAAAATACACGTAATGTAAGGTTTCCCACCTTGACCACGCGTGAGTGCACTTGTTGTGCAGCTGTCACCGCTGTCCATCCACAGAACTTTTCATCTTCCCAAAGTGAATCTTCCCCGTTGAACACTCCCAGTTCCTCCCTCTGCCCAGCTCAGCTCCTGGCACCCACCGTTCTGCCTCCTGTCTCTGTGAGTCTGACTGTTGATGACTCTGGTTCGTGTCCGTAGGATCAGACAGTATTTGTGTTTGTGTCTGTCTCATTTCACTCAGCATAACATCTTCAGGGTTCATCCATGCTGTATCACGTGTCAGAACGTTCCTCCTTTCTGAGGCCTGATAATATTCCATTGTATGTATTTCACATTTTGTTCTCCATTCATCGGTAGATGGAGTCTTGGGTTGCTTCCATGTTTTAGCTGTTGTGGTTAACGCCGCTGTGAACATGGGTGTACAGATATCTGTTTTGAGACCCTGCTTTCAATTCTTTTTGGTCTATACCCAGAAGTGGAATTGCTGGATCGTATGATACGTCTGTGTTTAACTTTTTAGGAACTGCCATACTGTTCTCCACAGCGGCTGCATTGTCTTACATGCCCCCCAACAGTGCACAGGGGTTCCAGCTTCTCCACACCCTCGCCAGTGTTTGTTGTTGTCTTTTTTTGGTAGTGGCCATCCTCGTGGGTGCTAAGTAGTATCACTGTGGTGTTGATTTGCGTTTCCCTGATGATTATTGGGAACACCGTTTCATGTGTTTACTGGCCGTCCATGTATCTTTGGAGAAATGTCTGTTCAAGTCCTTTGCCCATTTTTGAGTCAGATTTTTTTGTTGTTGAGCTTTAGGAGTTCTTTCTGTATTCTGGGTAATAACCCCTCCCCAGATACCTGATTTTCCAGTATCTTCTCCCGCTCTGTGGGTGGCCTTTTTACTCTGTTGCTAGTCCCTTTTGATGCACAAAATTTAAAGTTCTTATCAAGTCTGGTTGTCTAATTTTTCTTGTTACCTGTGCCTTCAGCGTCATATCCAAGACATCATGGCCAAATCCAATCTCCTGAAGTTTTTGCCCTACGTTTTCCTCTGAGTTTCATTGTTTCTTTAGGTCTTTGATCCATTTTGAGTTAATTTTAGTATATGATGGTAGGTAAGGGTCCACCTTCATTCCTCTGCACGGGGATGTCCAGTGTCCCCCCCACCATTTGTTGAAGGGACAGTCCTTTCCCCACTGGCCGGTCTTGTGCCCTTGTGGAAGTTAGTTTGATGGTAGAAGCGGGGGCTGACTTCTGTGGCCTCTGACTCCCGTGCCCTTGCTGGCGCACCCCTGGGCTTTCTCGTCGGTCAGCACCCCGGCCACGCTGTCCAGCTGTCTTGGACGTCCTTCCTGGCTCCCCCTTCCCCTCCTCCTCTTCCTCAGTAGCCCGAGTCGCCGGCACAGGCTGACCCAGGGGCCCATGGCAGCCTAGGGCCTGCCTGCAGCCCTGCTGTCGTCATTCTGTGCCACACATGCCTGTCCCTCTCGGTCACCTGTTGACCGAACCTGTCTTCTGTAGGTAGTGATGTCAGGGCCCCAGGTGTCTGGCCAGTGCAAGCTTCCTCACCCGAAGCTTCATCTCCCGTCGCCCCTCCATCCAGGCTGCCCCGTGGCTGGACCAGCCGCCCTTCTTCCCCATCCTGGGACTTCCTGCAATTGCTGCCTAAGATGCCCATTCATGATCCCCTCCTGGTTTCACTTTTTGGACTGGTCGGGCCCCACCTTCTCTGGGACGGCTCCCTCGTTTCCAGGCCAGTGTGGGCACTGCTGCCCTCGGGGGGAGGCCGTCGGGGCCCCTGCTATCCCATGCTGTGGGCTCCTGTGCCCAGGTGTGGGCCCTGGCAGGCAGGGCTTCTGGTTCCCAGGTGCTGGGGCCCCGTGACACCTGCGGCACCAGGTGTGTCTGAGTCCCTGGGGCCCTTTCGTTCTAGGCTCCGTCAGTGGGGCTGAGCCTGACCCAGGCAAGGAGCAGTGGGGCGACGACGACGAGGAGGACAGCGCCGGCACCGTCCTGCAGGTGGGTGGCCGGGCCCCGCGTAAGCTGAGCTCCCGGCCTCTGGAAGGCAGAGTGGGGTGGCATCCGTCCAACCCGGGCTTGGAGGAACACAGGTGCCCTAGAGCCTCGTCTGCAGGAAGAAGCGCAGATTTGTTGAAAGTGGAGTTGGGGGCTGGGCGCCGGGAGGCTGGGCTCCGGCTTCACCGCTCGACAGCTGCCCCAGGTCTGCCTGCGGCTCCCCTCGAGGGTGAGGGCGCTGGGGCCGCCAGGGTGACGCGTGCTGAGTGGGGGGCTTTTGGGTCCCCACTCGGGGTCAGAGCTCAGCGGACAGGATCTGTGACTTCAGGCGAGTTGGACACATAGGGTCCTTCCTGATACATTTCAGAAGTTGATTACTTGATGAATTAATACCATTTTAGGTAGCCTGGCTTAAATTTATCGGATTAATTTTACTTGTTTCTCCTGGAGGGTTTACAGTTGTGCAGAGGCTCACCTTGCAGCCCCTCGTGATCCATTGGGCGGCGCTGCCCTGGAGCGTCTGCCGCCACGTGTGCTGGGGACAGCGTTTGCGGGGGGAGGGGCGGAGCAGCGGGGGACCTTGGGGCACAGCCTTGGCGTGTGGTCCTCGTGCTCTTTCTCTCTGTTGGTTCCCGTCCTGGGAGCACCTGCGGGGGCTGACTTTGGCCTCCACGGCGTCTGTCTGTGAAACAGTTCGACTACGAGGCCGTTGCCAACAGACTGTTCGAGATGGCCAGTCGCCGGGACACCCCTCCACAGAACCGGAAGCGCCTCTACAAAGTCATCCGGAAGTGAGTAGCCCCGGGCCCTCCGCTCTCTGGTGGCCTCACCCAGGTGGGAGGGCAGCCGTCTTCAGAGCTCGGGCATGAAGGGGCTTCCTGGGGGCGGCTCCCCCCTCTCCAGAGGCCGTGGCGAGTGACCGTCTCTCGTTCTTTCAGGTTGCAGGCCCTCTCGGAAGGTGAGCATTGGGCCGCCAGGCCTAGACGGCATCTCGTCCTCTTGGGAGTGGATCAGGTGGCGTGTTCTCCCACAGCATGGATGGGTGCAGAGAGGCCAGAGGTGGTGTTTCTCCGGGGGAGGCAGGCTGCGGGCCTCTGCGGCCCTTGTCCTAGTGAAGTGCGGGGGATCTCAGGGCTGAGTGTGCGGGAGGGGCTGACCTGGCGCCCGAGAACCTGCATTTCCAGTAAGTGCCCAGGCCTGCCGCCCTGCTGCTCAGCGCTGCAGCGCCCAGCTCCACTTCTCGGTGTGTGGCTGGCGGAGCCGGTGTGGCTTGTTCTGAAAGACAGTTTCCTAGAAGGTTTAAGACAGAAGATGTAAGCGTTTTTCCCCCAACATTTCATTATGAAAAATTTTAGACACGTGGCAAAGTCGAAAAGGATTTTACAGTGCATACTTGCATGTCTGCCACCTCGGTTCTGCCATCAATTTAGTGTCCTTGTTTTACCGTGTTTCTTCCTCCCCCCGCCCACCCCTCAGTCAGGTTGTACTCCCAAATACTTCACGCTGGGGTTGTGTTTTTTAGGTGAAATTTACATTCAGTGGAACGCATGAATACTGGGTGCATCTGGTGGGCTTAGACTGAAGCACACACCTGTGTGACTCAAACCCACCGGGGCCCAGAAAGGTCACCTGCCCCTTCCCAACATAAGCGTCTGTAGGATGGAGCAAGACATGTCCCAGCGCTCCAGGAACCGGCTCTTCCGGGCGCCGTCTGTTGGTGCCCAGTGAGCTGCCCGCAGCTGCGGCGGAGTCCGGCTGGGGCCTCCTTGCCCGGAGCTCATGGCCGTGGTGCTGGTGGCAGTGGGTGCATTGACCGTAGCCTCCCAGCCCACAGCCTCCTGATGGCCCGCCTTGATCTTTAGGCCTCTTCCCCGAGGACGACATCCCAGAAAAAGCCTACAGGAATCCGCGGGGTGGGAGACGGGTGAGGATGAAGAAGCGCTTGTCCGAATCCCAGCTGCAGAACAAGATAGGTAGGCCTGGTGGGTGGGCTGCTGGCCTGGGGCTTCGTTACCTGCGTTCTGTGCTCCCGGCTCATGTCACCTGTGACTGAGGCCTGTTTCCAGGCGTGATTCCCCCTCCCCAGCCTGCTGCCCCCCAGCGCCCACTGCCCCTGTGTCCTGGAGACGTGGCGCCCTGTCCCCAACGCCCCGCTGCTCAGGGGCTGTTTCTGCTGTCTGGCCCGTGGGCCACTCCCTGCGTTCTCCGCTCTCCTTCCCTGTGGCTCCGGTCTGGTGCCTCTTCCTGACCCTTTTCCATCTTTGATCTGACCTGGTCCGTGCCTCCTCTTGCGTCTCCCATGGCGTCCTCCAGGGAGCCCCTAACCTCGCTGCGCTCTCCTCCTTGATTTTAGAGGCTTCCCCCTCTCCCGTCTTCCCTCCCTCCCCCTTCCTCCCCCTCCCCGCTTCCTGCCTCTCCCCCTTCTCTCCCCTCCCTCCCCCAGCTTGTCCACAGGCCTGTGGTTAGAACGTGACTGACCTTGCTAAGGGCTGTCGTGCGCTCCTGGCACACCCCAAGCCCTGTACCCACTGTAGACCACTGGGGCTGCCCCCTGCAGTGGGATGGGCTGTGCCCACAGCACCGAGCGGGGCAGGAGCCAGAGGCACCCCTGGCTGGAAGGGGACACGGAAGAGGGAGAGGCGGTGGCTCCACCCCCCACTGAGATCCCTCCTGTGTCATCCGTGTGTGGCCAACTGGCCCCAAGTCCTGGGCCCCAAGTGCCCTTTGAAGGGTCTCTCCATTCACCCCCGCTCCGGCCCGGGCCAACCCTGTCCAGCTCGTTTCACACCAGGGCCGCTTAGCAGGCGTGGACTGGCTCACATACTCGCGCCAGGCTGGGCCCTGGACGCTGACTGTCGGCTGTCACGTTGACTGGGAGGCCTGGCCCTGCTTTCCCAGCTGCCCCTTACGACCAGCGTACCCTCTGGCCCCACGTGCACTGAGCCTGGGCCCGCCCGCCCCAGATGTCCTGCCTTTGCCCAGTTCCCTTTCTTCTTGTTCTGTCCTCGTGCCGGTCGTCCTAAAGGCCCACCTCCCGGTCAGCCTCCCTGGCGTCAGGAGCTCGAGTAGGTTTCCCTGCCTGACGGCCGTGGAACTCAGAGCGTTGCTGGCACGGCCTCTGTGTGGTCGGTGCCTCTGCCGAGCACTGTGTCCTCTGCCACCCTGGGGCCGGCACCTCAGTCAGCATCCCAGCAGCTGGAGCCGGCCTTCTCGCCGCCTCTTTACTAGGCCTTGCCATTTCAGGGGGAGCTGCAGAGGAGGCCTCGCGTCCAGACCCGAGCCCGGCATCCGCGAGGCGGCGCCGGAGCGCAGGGGCCGACCCCGCCGTGCCCCGGGAGCAGCCCGGGGGCCGTGGCAGGAGAGGGGCCCCCAGGAGGCGGCGGCGGCCTTGGGCGGGCGCCAGAGCGAAGGCGGCCGATGGCCAGGCGCCAAAGGCGAAAAGGAAGCGGGCCCTGGAGGGCCAGAAGTGATGTCCACCAGGCGCTCCGGGGAGGATGAGGGGACGGGACAGTCAGGCTGGGTTCCCGAGACTCTGGACACCGACCGCTCCCCGACTTACTGTGTCGGGAAGTGGCAGAGGTCAGGACTCAAGGGGGTTGGGCCCTCACTTAGCGCCTGCGTCCCAGAACGTGCTGCGGCTGTGCTGACCTCGGTCAGGCCGGCGGACCCCCGGGACTGGAGCCTCCCTGCAGGCACCCTCCCCAGGCAGGGGACCGGCTGCCCGCCGGGCGTCTGTAAATAAAGTGCCACGCGGTGCCTACAAACCCGTCCTGCCCTGGTGCGTTTATGCGGGTTCTCTGGGGGCGTTTGTGTTTTGCACCTGAAGTCTGTTGACGCGGTCCTCAGACACGCTCGGCAAGATGAGGCCGAGGGTTACCAGCGTCGTCTGGACGTGCACTTCATCAGCTCGGGCTGGGAGCTGACAGTGAACCGGTGCTTTGGGCAGGAGGGTCGGTTCCCTGCCCGCCCCTTGTCCGTGACTGAGGCAGAGCTGGATCTGAGGTCCCTGTGAAAAAACCAGACCAGCAGGTAACAGCGAGTCAGCATGGCCTTGGCACCTGGGAGGGAGGCTTGTCGTCAAAGGAGGACCAGCGTTGGCCTCCCAGGAAGCGAGGCATTTCACCTTTAATGTTTAACATGGACATTCTTCTGGTCAGTGCGCCCTCTTCTTTAATAATTACAGCGGATGGACAGTGTATGTTTGAAAGGCCACAAACAGGCTGCTCTAGTCCGCATCAGATGCAAGTTAGCTCATGCATAAGCCAGAACGACTTCCCCAGGCCTCAGTATGTGAACATTCCTTTCACCACCCCAAAGCGGCTTCAGGAGACGTCCACCGCAGACTGCCGGCGGGCAGGGCTGGCTAACGGGCGAGGTGACCTGGCTGATGACCCTCGAGCCGTCACTTCCTCCCCAGCTGGGACCCTGGGAGGGAGGGCGCTGCTGCTATTAGCGCTGTTTTGTGGGTGCGGGCAGGTGTTTTTTTTGTTTTTTATTGGAATTTCTTTGATCAAAAAGTATGGAAGCAGCCATACTATAGAAGTTTCTGGGGGGAAAGAAGCAGCCGTCATTCCTGATTGCAGTTCTTAAACCAGTGCCATTCTCCTGTCACTGTTCTCAGGCCACGTTGTATGAACATCTCCCGTGTCTTCAGGATCCTTCAACTGTAACCGTGTTACGTAGCTGTGGGCACTGGTGGGCTGTGGGTTGCAGTTGCTCTGATGGGCAGTGTTTCTCCGGTGTGAGGAAACGTTCCCATCGGGCAAAATGAGGAAATTAAATACGAACGCCAGCCATTGTGCCCCAGGAAAGCTTGTGTTCCAAAGGGGGCATCATTTTTTTTAAGCGCCTTGTTGAGATATGGTTCACGCTCCAGAAAACATTTTCACCCATGAGGATGCCTGGGCCCCTCCCAGCCCCCGCCCCAGCCCCTGGCAACCGCTAACGACTTTCTGTGCTGCCTTCTCGGTCTTCAGATAGTGAAAATCAGTGTGTGGCTTCCTTCAGCGTGTGTTCAGCGTTCATGCGCCGTGGGACTTGTGTCAATTTATGGCTGAGTAGTAAATACCCCGCTGTGCGGATGGGCCCTCTTGGGCGGGAGCATCGCAGAAGCGACGTTGGCTCTCCCTCGGTCCCGCCCAGGCCACCGGGTTTCCACCTGCCCTGCAGTTGGGAGGGGGGTCTTGAGAAAGTGACCTTCCCCCTGGGGGCTCACACAGTGTTATAGGAGGGGGCTCTGGAACTCTGGTGCCCAGTTTCTCATCAAACTTCCGCTTATTCATTGACCCGTGTCAGCAGCCCAGGTTTCCTGTCTGATCCAGTGGTTACACGTAATCCCTTACTGTCACGTACGTTACTGCTCAGCGCAGCCTCCGGTGGGAACCCTCAGGCCGGCTCCTGAGACCCTTCCCCAGGCGCTCGCTCCCTTGCCCTCGTCACGGCAGGAAGCCCCAGCCCTGGGCCAGCCATGTCTCCAGAGAGCGCTGGCTCCTTTGGGGGCCCGGCCCTGCGCGGCCCCGGAGGAGCTGCTGTGGGTGAGGGTCCTCTGGGCCCCTCGTCTTTCTTACTGAGATTTACTTTACAGACCGTACGATCCAGTGGTTCTTAGTATATTCATAGGGTTGTGTGTCTGTCGCCTCAGTCCATCTTCGGACATTTTCATTTACCCCCAAAGAAACCCTGTGCTCAGGGGAGAAAGCCTGAGGGAGGCTTTTGGACCACCAGGGGCCCCCACCATGAGATTATTGGCCACCAGGCTAAGACGTTCATTTATAGTTTCCTGGAGCAGTTGGGGTCTAGGACAGATATCACTGTGTCTGAGTGACCTAAGAGCTTCCAGTAGCAAGTGTGTTTTTATAGCTTTGCGGTTATGACTGGCTCCGCTAAAGGTTCTCTTCTCGGGAGACTGGATGGTCGCTCTGGAGCTAGGTCGGGGACCACCGCCACCACCCCCGCCACGTGCCAGTCCACGTGGACTGACCCGGAGCTTCGTCCTGATAACAAGATGGCAGTCGTGTCGTGGGGTTCTCGGCTCCTCGCCCTGGCTTGCTGAGAAAGGTCCAGAACAACAGCCCGAAGTTCTTAAAGTGCTTACATCAGCCTGTTTGCTCATCACACACTCCAGTGGCCCAAAACTCCGTTGTAGCCGGGACCAGTGGGAGCCAGGCTGACTACTTTGATTCAGCGCCAGTGGGGGTAGCTCTGGCCCAGGCGGAGTCTAAGGGCTGCATGGGAAGGTCTTGTTCCGGGAGGGGTGGGCATGAGGGGGGGCCTGTGTGCTGCAGACGGTTCACGCAGGGGAGGGACCTGCCAGGGCCGTTTGGGACCCCCCCTCGGGTAGTGGGGTGGGGTGGATCTGGGGACAGTCCCACCAGCAGCTGAGACCGGGTCCTGGTCCCTCCCTAGGAGAGTCCCTGCCTGCTCTGGGCCTATTTCCTCATCTGTACATGGGGCGCGGCCAGTGGTATCAGGCGATGTCACGGGGCATCCCTGACAAGTGGGTGGTGGCCTGCCGCTGGTGTCAGCAGGACGGAGCGTGGGGTGCCGGGGGAGGGACGATGGAAACCAGCCTCACCTGTGTCCTTTCCTGGGAGGCGCTCAACCGAGTGAGGATTTGTGCAGCATCTTGCAACAGCTGCCCCAGCGCCCTTAGAGGACAGGAGGTGGGCGGTCTGCGCCCGGCCCCTCCTGGTGGTTCCAGGGCAGCGCCCGCCCCCAACCCCTGGGATCCGGCCACACGTGGGCGCCTGCACACCTCCCGGCGCCCCCGATCGCCCTTTCCTTTTCTCCATCTCGCTTGGGGGTCCGAGCTGCATGATTTCCAGTTTTGATGTTCGGTGTTTTGGGGGCTGTGCTCCCTGGCTGGACCTGAGACCTTCGGGTGTCCCGTGCCCCTGGCAGCCCACCTCCCTGCCCCTCTCCGCAGTCACCCCCTCCCTTATTTCCTCCCCCTCCCCTCCCCCTTTCCTGCTTAAACGTTTATTCAGTCTCGCAGGAGATAGCTGCAGGCCTATGCTGTATGAGATAGCTGCCGCGTCATGAACTGCCGCAAACTTGGCGGTGGACATGGCAGCTCTGTAGGTTAGGAGTCAGGGCGTGGGTAGTGGGGCTCCTGCTCGGGGTCTCACAGGCTGAGATCAGGTGTCGCGGGGCTGCCACCACACTCGAGGCTCGGGTCCCCTTCCCGGCTCACTGCTTGTTGGCAGGATGAGGCCAAGGTCCCCGTTTTCTTGCTGGCTGTCAGCCGCAGTGGCTCTGAGCTCCTAGGCACTGCCCACGGCTCCTGGCCGCGTGCCCAAGGCCGGCAGGAGAAATGCTCACACTTCGGACCTCTGACTTTGTCCCCAGCTCCAGCTCACCTGACGAGGTCAGGCCCACCCACACTGGGGGAGGGGAACCGTGGGGTGTGCATGCCTAGGGGTGGGCACCCAGGGGCCGGCTGAGGATCCGCCCGCGCAGTCCCCATGTCCTGTCCCTCTTTCTCTTCTGAGTCTTAACCCTCAGAGCTTGACCCAGGAGCAGAAGACTGAGGGGCCCTTTCCCTCTCCTGCCCCTGGAAAGTTCCTTGCCCTGGGAGGTTTGTCAGAGAGTGAAAGGATAGAAGACGCCGCACTGTTGGGGAGCAGCTCAGGGTCGACTGAGCCAGAAAGGGGGCCCAGACCCCCCGACGCCCGGGTCTGGGCTGGTCTGCCTTGCCCTGCGGTGCTGCTAATTCCCTGGGGAGGGTTCAGGGTGATGAAGGGGGAGGGAGAGATGTTTCAGCTCTTCCTGCCACCAGCTGCCCCCGCCCCGTGACCCTTGGCCCGGCTGCCCCTGCCTCACAGCCAGCGCTTCCCTGTTGATCCTCACCCTGCAGTACCCCCGCCCTGGGCTCTGCCCTGCCTGCTGCCCCCAGAGCACCTGGGGCCTGGCAGGAGCTGGTGACGCCTGCAGGACCAGTGGTGGCTGCAGCGCCGTCTGCTGGGCGTGGGCCCACATCACCCTGAGGGCCGGCGGCCGGCCCTGGCCTCCCCTGTGGTGTGGAGCCGCCTGGACTGGCTCCTTTCCCACCTGCCCCAGACTGGAGGGCAGGCTGCTGCTGGGGCTGGGGGGCACCCCTGATGCGGTTCTGAGCCTGAGCTCCAAGGCGGGACGGCGCTGCTCTCTGACCACCCCTCGGTCCTCTCCTGACCGATGGCAGAGGATGATGGCCCCAAGGCCCTGGTGTGGTGTGCGGGGTGTCCCTCGGGCACCCCCTGGCACCCCATTTGCTTTGTGGCACTTGAGCAGCCTGGGCCTTGCCCTGGAGGTGTCCCTCCAGGGAGGGGGTGGGGGACTGTCTGGTTGGTGCCCGTCTTGGCAGCCCTCCCACTGTGAGGACAGAAGGTCCTGCTCTCACCTAAGGACTCCATGTCACCTGCACACGGAGAAACCCTCCACCGTCCCCCAGGAGGCCTGAGGTCTGCACACCCCGCAGCTCCCCGTCCAGGGGCCGCCCCCCGGAGCAGTCTCCCCACCCTCCCGGCCAGACCCCGTCTTCTGGAACCAAGACCCCTAAAGCTGAGTTTCTTTACCGAGTTTACGATTCATCTCTCATCCAAAACTTCATCCCATTTCTGTCCCCTCTGGCCTCAAGCCTGTGCTGACAACACTAATTACCAGAGTCGGATGCTTAAGGTTGCTGTTGTCCATCGTTAACGAACTAAAGTTGCTATTATAGATTCATCATTGACGTACAAACTCGGGTTGTTTCTCCAGGGCAAGGTGAGCTCACAGACCCCTGAGCCGGGGACCACCTGGGACACCCTGACTCGCGAAACCGTGATTCAGAAATGTCACAAGACAGAGATTCACCCCAGCTACCTTGTTCTTCCCCTTAAACATATCCCCCAACCCAAAGACCAGGTGGGAGTGGCTCTGAGGCTTGTCTCCCCTTCCCTCGCTCGGTGCCTGCAGTAAACCCTTACTTTGCTGCAAAAACCCCACTGTCGGAGTGCGGCTCTGCGCCTGGGCACGCGGCTTGCTACACGTCTCTCGGCAACGTGGTTTCCAAGGAAACGGGCCTTCCCGGTCAGTCCGACCGGCTCTGACTTTCTCACAGCCCCCTTCGCTTGGCACCAAGCAGAGGCATCCGGATCCCGTGCAAGCCTGGGCCTCTGGCTCCAGCCCCACCCCCTGCCCCTGGAGGCGTGGCCTCAGCTGCTCTCAGGCCCAGGGGTTTGTGCCTTGGGCTTTTGGCATTGCAGTTTGTCTCTGTCCTTTTATTTTCTAAATTGAAAAAAATTGTGGCCACGCCTCGTGGCATGTGGGATCTTAGCCCCCCACCGGTGGTCGAACCCTTGCCCCCTGCAGTGGAAGCACGGCGTCCTAACCACTGGACCGCCAGGGAGGTCCCTGTCCTTTTAATAACTAAGTAGATTGTGCCTTGATGTGAATTGAAGATGTGGTCGAATTTCAAAAGTGGGGGCATTTGGATTCGGAATGCTTCAGCTCCCAGAACTCAGACTCCCACTGGCTTATGCAGGGGAGGGGGGTCACGGGCCTTGTCCTGGAGAATTCTGGGAGTGGGCTGGCCTCAGGTGAGGTCACCAACTGTCAAGTCCCTTTTCCTCCCTGCATGTCTGGTGACCCCTGACCGAGCGGCCGCTCCTGGGGCTTCCACGCCCTCAGTCGCCCCACTGGGGAGGGTCTCGTGTTCACAGCCTGAGTCCTGAGGCTCACGCTGGCCTGACCCACCGCTGGTCAGAGGAGGGTGCCACAGCCTGACCCCCACAGGCCACAGAACCTCTGGGACCACAACATAGTGCTGGGGGCGTCG